CTCCCCCTGCTTGTATTCCCTCTCTCGCCGTGTCTCTCTCTGTCAAATAAATAAAACCTTTAAAAAAAAAAGGTGCCATTAGAGATGCGCCCAGCAATGCTAGGACATGGAGGGTGGGAAACTTCCAGCTGGGCGCTCCCCATTATGGCCCTGAGGTTTCCTTGGATCTTCCCTATCTTACTCTTTTCTTAACGGAAAAGGAAACCACAGATGGCAGCATTAGAAGTCACAGTGATGCAGCTGACCACGCAGTGCAGGCCCGTCACGTGGCACTGTGTGAGGTGCTGTGGGAGATGGGGGGATGAGGCACTGCCTAGGCCCTGGAGGAGCCCCCGATCTTGTGGTACAGGGGAAGAACATGAGATCTGGAGTCAGACTGGGAGCCAAGGAGAGAGGCCTCAGAAGAAACCAATCCTGCAACCCCTTGATCTCAGACAGCTTGATCAGAACCTCCAGACCCCGAGATAACCAGTTTCTGTTGTTTAAGCCCCACTCCCCCCGAGCTTGTTATGCTTTGTTGGCAGCCCCAGCAAACTCAGACATTACCCTTACTTAACCTGTTTTAGGCATTATTTCTTACTCTGGCACTTGAGGAATTAGCTTCTTGTACCAGGCGCACTTCCATTTTTTTCTCCCCTTATCCTCACAATATAGTTTTCCACAATTTATAGTTAAATCAATAGTTAGTCTTTACATTATTGACCAGGTAGACAAACACTGTTCACTCAAGCTGTAAACTACTATTACATTTTCTTTCCCTTAAAAGTTGGGTTTTACCTGGGTGAATCATTGTTTCTTTTTTCAATTGTTTAGATTTCTGAGTACCTAGAGCTATTTTCTTCCAAATGTTCCAAACACATAGCAATTTTTCCAAATGTTCAACCCCTAACTGATCAGTTCCATCTTTTCCCTGGTGACGTCTTTCCCACAGACTTGGTCTTTGTGCTCCACCTGGGACTGGTTCCTTACTAAGCCTAGCACACAAATGTCCTGAGATTTCCTTTTGCCAGTTTTCTCTGCTGACTGTCCCATTTCCTGGACCTAGCTCTTCCTCCTTTTTGGTTTGCTCTCTTGTTTTGTTGAAGCACATTCCTCAGTAGTTTCCTAAGAAGTGAAAATTTTCATTTCCTCTTCTTTATATACCCAACTGATATAACACAAGGTCAACACACTTCGAGACTTTCAAGGATAAAAAAGTAATGTGTATCCTTGAAAGTCTCAAAGTGTGTTGACCTTGTGTTATATCAGTTGGGTATATAATTCCATGTTAGGAATAAACTTCCCTCAGATTGAGCCTCCCCAGTGTTGCTGGTTGAGAAGTTCGATGTCATTCTGATTTGTGTGCCGTGGACTGTGGCTTGTTTTATCATTCTTGATGCTTTAAACACTTTTCTGAAACGGTAGGATGGTACATCTTGTTGCAGGTCTTTTTCACTTAGTATTCTAGGCCCTCAGTGGGCTCTTTTGATCAGGTGCTGTGTCCTTTGGGTTTTGGAAATTTCTTTACCAGGCAATGACTAGTCTTTTCATTGAAGAACACGTAAATGTCAGTCAATGGAGGGCTTTTCCTGCCTCCTGGGGGTCTTCTGGACTTCTCTACTTTCCGGGGGTGTGGTGTGGTGAGAGGGTGGGGGGTGCTAGATGCCTGGCATCTGGCATCCTGGGAGTGGAGGTGGGAGAGGGGCTGGGGCAGTGTGTAGGCTTTCCCACCATCACTCAGTTTTCTACCCTCTCTCTCATTCCTGCCCTTCAAACTATGCCTGAGGTCTCTGAGAATGAAGGCCTCCAGAATTCAATTTCCTTTCTCCTTATGCAGCACGAGAGTTTAGAGTGGGCATGTGGCTTTTGAGAAAGGAGCTCTGGGGTGGGGGCAAAGTGCTCTGCATACAGACTTCAGCCAGTCCCCCTGTGTTTAGCCCCTTACCTCATGTCTAAAGGCACTAAGCTTTTTAGAGGTTAAACTGGGTGAACTGACTTGCTTCTTGTTGGTAATCTCCCCTTTGGCACTAAGTTTGTAATTTCTTAGGATGTTTCAAGCCAGGTAACATTCTCCCACCTGCCTTCTACCTTCCAAATATTTGTCCAGCTTTCATCTGCTGTTGCCTTCTTCCCTGAACGTTTGTGACTTAATACCTTTCTATATTTCTTTTTTTTTAAAAGATTTATTTATTTATTTGAGAGAGCGAG